AGGGGAGGGGTGGGTGGCGACTATGACAGCAAAAGATAGTGACGTGGTGGTGATAAACGAGGTGGGGATAGTGGGTGGGAGGATGAAATTAATTGATAGTAGTAGTGGTGGTGGTGGCAAGTGGCAAGGGCGTCGTCAGTAGCGGTGGATATGTTGCCGACGGGAGCGATGCGGGCTGGGAGGGAGAGGGTGGTGGTTAAATCTGATGCAAAGGTCATTTTTGTCTTTCTAAAACAAAATTATAATTTGTGTTGCATTTGCCATAAAATGGAATTCAAATCTTTCATATATGCTAAGATATGATCAAATCCTTCAACCGTGGAATTTAGTGAAATCTAATCATTGTATCCCACAAATTCCTTTGAATTATACAAACCAAACAGCCCCTTAAAATCTAAAAATATAATTTCACATATTTGTGTGCCAAATGAAATGCAAGCATCACTTCTTGAAGTGCAAATAACATTTTCTTAAGGTACTATTATCTCCATATATTTCCATGACAAACAAAGCATACACAATTGAACCAATATTGGTTTTTTGGTTTTCTTCCATTAAACCTGAATGGATTAAAGTGTCTTCTTGTTATTTGTTCTATATGTTGAATAAACAATTTGAATGTTGTAAATTACTATTTTACCCCTAACTTTGAAAAGTTCCCTAATCTAAGTACTCATCTACTATTAATTTAAAGACATCAAACATCTGTGCAAATAATGTATTAAGCACACCCTCATGATGTAAGCAAATAAGCCCCTATCTGAATGAATAAGCCGCTTCTAAAGCATGTATCGCTTATTGAATAAGCCATATGTGCAATACAACTGATTAATCCATTACCGAACAACCCCTATATCTTGGCTAGACATGGTTCGTATTAGAGGGTGAGATAACTTTTGTACCAATTTGAACTTTGAAAGTAAGAGGTTGTAAATAAAAATATAAAGTGCTAACCATGTGATCTACTTAAGAGAATATCTCAGCAACACATAATAAATCCTCCCTACTCAGCCTACAACTACAAGATGGCAAATATAGCTTTAGGTGAACAAATTTTATTCTTCATAATCATTTGATATAATAAGATGCCTATGCTATGCTATGCAATGCATAAGGTGATGCCACTAAAGGGAACATCTAATCCACCCATTACCTCCTTCACTTTATCCCACATAAAATTTTATGTCGTTAAATATATATTGACAAAAATTCCAGAACCAATTTAGTGACCAAGCCTAGTTGAGAAGGGGGGGGGGGGGTTCAGATAGAATTGTGAATGCTAGATGAATCATGATAATTGAGGATGCATTTGGTATCCAGACAGAATAGGACAGGACAAAACAACTGTGCAATATTTAGTTAGACAGAACTGCACAGAACAGATAAAATGACTAATTAAGGGAACCGGGTACATACCAGGGTGCAAGGAGCAGTGGCAAACTGATTTTGGGGCATTATGTGCATAGGCAATCTGTATGATGAAACAATACATGAGCTTTTTGGCAAAATGAGAGGGGAGTAATTATCGAGGACAAGAAATTTAAATAAACCCTCTAAACTTGTTCAAGTATTGCACCAATTGCAACTTTTTGTGGCATAATAATCTGGTTATAGGTTTGGTTTAGACACAAGCTTTCTTCAATCAGAAATTACCCTGCCTTCTTTGCAAAATTAATGGTTACTGTTCATATCCGTTTGCTTTTCATTGGACATACTTATTGATGTTAAACCTTAATTATGTTCATGATTTCATTGTGTAGATCTCCAAAAAGGGCAAACAATATTTTAGAGTTTGTACCATAATGTGTGCCATACACTCAAATACCTACTGAAATGGAGGGCCAGACTTGCTTTGATCAACCTTTTAACAAGTGCACACTAAGTCTCAAAACTTGTTATGTTTTTTTTGTTTTTCTTTGTCCTTAGCCTCCTTTTTGTTGGGATCTTTCAGCTATTAGCCATAGAAATGTCTACTTTATTTTATCCCATATGATTAATCACTAACTAAAGTCAAGCATTTTAACTGATAAATACACACTGACCCACACATGTATCACGTGTAAGTACAAAAGTGGATCTATAGGCTTTTTCTCAAATCAACTTTCATAGTGGAAGATATAAATTATACATATTGAAACARAATGGTTTCATGTTCTTTCATCGATTGGTTATTCCTTCCTGTTCGAAGAAGAATTTAATAACAATAGATGGGTTTATTATGTCTCGGAATCAAGGAAATTTGAAGTTCAAAATACTTCAAAAATTCGGGTATCAAAGCTAATCCGACGAACCCATCATTTGAATCAACTGGACCCTAAGAATTCCTAAAATGGGTATTTTGTTCTGTGTGAGGATAGTACTTGCTTCCAAGTTGTCATACAAAAGCCGACTTCCAAGCAGGAGACACTCAAAATATTACATTATAAAACTCGCACAAATCATCATTGCTCTCGTTGATAAGAGATAGTTTCATATGGTTCCGAGTCAAAAGCCATTGGCAATGAATGGAGTACCCAAGATCATATATACTCAATACGTAAGTTATTTGCTTGATGTGGATAACTAATTCCAATAGCATTAACCATACTCTTAACACCAAAAGGAAGTGATAAATGCAATGTTACAACTAGAAAAAGAATTCTAATATAGAACTAAAAGCAAAATTATAATTTCAGCATTCTTCATCAATCTGTAACTTGTTAAAAAGAAACAAGAGCCGCCTGGCGTACCTTTTGAGGCATGTGCCGTTTCATGGCCAATCCCATCCATCGGCTGGTGGCAATGATGAGAGCTCATATGCCACTCATAATCCATCGAAATCAAGAATTCTCCGGATGGATCTTCATATGATTGATTGGACAGAAATAGTCCAGCACGGGACCATGCCAGCAAAGGAACTTACAACTGTATAAATATATGAAAACACAATGTAAAGCAATTTAGCTTTAAATATGCAGATATGTCATGGGAATAATTCCTGAACGATAGACTGGATAAATGACTATTATAGCACTGAAACAGCAGTAATTTCATATCCAATAGCAGAAAAGGCTCACACCATCAAAATCCTTAGCATTTCTGGGCTGATTTGGAGGACTATAAGCTTTTGCTGTACGGTAATAACTTACATCCTCAAAGTTGACAATCATCATCCACGAAGGGGTAAAAGATTGGCTTCTGTATTGAATATAATGTCTACTAAAACTCGACTGTGGTGCACTTTGGAAGAGTTATGTATCATGAATTTAGCTTGAGCAAAAATCAATATTTTGCTCCCACGTGTTGCAGCTTTTGAACAATGGAATGGACAGATAAATTTTGACATTGTCAGAAATTATGTTGGTATGGTAGTGCTATTAAACAATGCTGGCAGAAAGTTTGATGTCCAAAGGCAATTTAATCCCCAAAGCACCAAAGTATCTCTTACACAAAGCAGAATCAGGAACATATCAATTCGGTGAAAATATCAAAAATTTCTAACAGTAAGAGTCTGAAGAGACAGAGAACTACAAATCTACTAGCCATAATACCCACTAACATGAACTCAGATGAACTAGTCAAATTTACATGTGAAAGTAACGAAATTATGTTTTGTACATACAGGTAAAAGATGGAAAAAGAACAATAGCATCTATCCTGACAGCTCTTTGCTGAGTTTCTAACGGTTCCAGCAAAATTTCTTCGTACCAGAGTAATCAATAATCCTGTTGATTAAATAACTGGGTTTTCACTTGTATGGCCAATTGTGGATGCTCACATGGACAAAGGCAATAGCAACCTTCTATCCTTTTTTCTCGCAATTGTCTGCCTAGAAATCCTCAAGCGTATAGGAATTAGAATACCAAGGCAAATGATGGCAAAGGAAAGCCAGAAATGTCTGAAGTAGAGGGTCATATACGATGATGTTACAAGCACAATGAACAGTGTGGCCCATAAGATTGCCACAGCAACATCAACCCTGCATTGTTCAATCAAATTGTGATCATTTCACAGCACAAATAGCCAGATCTAGTTACTGCACTGTAAAACATCAACAAAGTGGCTTATAAGGTACATTCAAGGAAAAGTCATCATGTCTCCCATGGAATATTAACCGATTTGACAAACTTTATACAAGTCGTTGTAAGATGTGAGTCCTAACATAAACCCAGACAGCTTTGTTACATGCATTTGCCAAATAAACATCAAGACATCTCAAACAGGGAGATATGAAATAAACCAATCAACAAAATCACATTTATGATTGGAACTCACAAGAGAATGTAAAGAATACAAAATCACCTCTCATGCATGATCTATCCAAAGTTCAGCAATAGAAAGATTACTTCTAATCAAATACAAATTCAGTTATAACTAAAGCTTGAAGTATTACAAAAGTAAAAACTAAATCAGTTTAACTCTATGAAACATCTCAGTTCTTATACTGTTCTCTTTTCTAGTTCCAGTACTGAACTCTCAGGTGTCACCATGATCAAAATAATTTATTCCAATTCAAGCTTCTTCTATCCATCGTTTGATTAAAGTATTTCTCACCTTCTATTCTCTGCGCTGTTTGCATCTCCTTCTCCTTCACTAGTCTTGCTCACTGTGACCTTTGTAAATGTTATCTGGAAACCTACTGGCTATAGGCAAACAACAATCCATGAACAACAAAGCAAGGGGGAAACACTCTTGCCTTGCTGCTTGTCTCTCTATAACTTTGGACTACATAACAACAGTATATGAGAGCTTATAATCTAGACACTAGTTTAATTAGACCAAACTAAAACCAATCAGAATACTTCTATAAAGAATACATCAAAAAATAAACAAGATGAAAACCAACAAAGAATTGATGGGGGAGAGAGAACGAAAAGATAGACAGAATGGGTAGAACATTAGATGAGATGTTAAGTTTACAACTCAACTAAAAGCTTAAACCAAGTGATTCAGTCAGCCTTGGAAGGCATCTTAAAATACAATTTGTGATGAGCCACAACAGATGCTCAAGCTGTAATTGTTTAGAGGACTCAGATTTAGAGCAGGACTTATGATATAGTAAGGTTTAGTTTTATATTTCATTTTCTGTCCACTTTTATTGCTTATTCTTGGTAAATAAAATGCAGTAATATGTATATTTATTGAACAACATGTGGTGTATGCATATCTGATCATTGTATTAATTTGCTAGCTTCACTGTATGATTAAGCATATTAAGTATAAGTGGGAAGATTCTTGGAGTGATATATATATCTTCTAGCGCAGAGTGGCTCATCAGAAATACAGATTACCTAATAATACTTGATGCCTAAGACCCTATACATGACTCTTATGTTGCCTGTTTTTCTATCTCTATTTCTGTCCCCATATATCTTACTCCCTCAAAATCCTATCACAGCAGCAACTAAATAGCAACTCCACCAAACTGAACTCCAAATTCCACTTTATACTCCATGCATCACTTCTAGATAGAGAGCTAACAGTAGCATCGAGCTCCATCATTGCCCTGTGGCCTGAAAGTGCTACCAACTATCACAAGTAAAGAGCCTTATTGAGAAGTATCTTTGTATGAAGACAGAAGTGTAAGACACAGCAGGAAAACAAATGCAAGTGCAGAAGTTCTAGTTCATGGACTCCTAAAATAAGAACTTGTAACACATTAGGGGATCAACTCAACAAAAACTTAAAAGTGGTACAGGCCTAAGCAGTTAACGAGGTCCATTGCAGAAATAGCAGTCGGGACCTTGATTTGAAATAGTGTTATCACGGTGACATAGCGTTATCGCCGTGATATAGCGGTAAAAAATTATGTTCATAAAATTAATACGAATATGTACAAAACTTCAAACATTGCATGTCTAATACATATCAAGTCAAACAATTCAAACCACACAAGCAACATAGTGATAGGAGCTGTGCTGTCAAGATGAGAAAGAAATCATAGAAAACCTGTGGAACCACGGAAACGAGAAGAAAATTCGAGTTGATCAAGCTTTTTGGACTTGGTGTCGATGCAGAGCTTTGGACTTGGAATTGATACCAAAGTTTGACCTAATTGTTTCTATTGTTGATTTTATCGGTTTCCTTAGCCCACATAAATGACACATAGGTAGCACTGCCCCTATTAGAGAAGGGTGAGGGCCCACTTCCGTACTTCTGATCTGCTAGCACTGTGAATTACCTTAGACCTACGCAGCAGGAACGAGATGGAGCACCTACTCTACTGGTCGTCTGCTYTCTCGAGGTCGTCCTTATCTAGGTACAAAAAGGACATTACGGGGTATCTCCAAAATTCGATGTACTTCGTGCAGGACACATCTCATGTTTGCCGAATCTAAAAACCATCGCCTTTGCATCCAAACACTTCACGGCGGCTATGATCAGATCCCAGTGTTGGTTCACTTTTGACTTTATCCTCCACCAAATCTTGGGAAGTTGGGATGGAATTCATGTGATGGTTCGAAAGTGCTTTCAAATATTCTTCGCATCCCCACAGAGATACATTGTTTCCATTGTGACTTGGTCGTCAAAACGAGCACTACTAATGTTGTGTACTTTTCATTGGAGCATATCTTTCGCTAGGAAGGGATCAATTACGAGTATGAAATGCTTTTCACATATAAGTTGGATAGTGCGATAAGACAATTACACTCCTCCGCCTGGCATTCCAGTTCAAATACTAGTGAGGTAGACAACCTCATGCCATGCGTGGAAACAGTAAGGACCTTGCCTACAGGCTCATTGGGACACTCAAGTACGAAGGAATTCTCCACTTAATTAAGGAAGGTTTCAGAGACAGAGGATCAAAGCAATGGAAAAGCAAGGGAACGAGGCGACCGGAGGGAGGGYTTGGTATGGTAGTGAGACCAACAGGGAAACATAATAAATAGAGAGTATGTGAAAGATCCATTGACACACGAAGGTAGAAGTAAGTTAGCAGTTAGTTGAGCAGTCGTGGCGGACAAACACAAACAGCAAGCAAAGTCTTGGCTCGCTCTCATTGGGAGGTTGTTCAACCAGACTGACAAAGTTGAGTATTGACACAAACAATAAGAGGAAGAGCTTCCCTGAGCGATTTCGATCACCTAGCAAGCCTTTTATTTGGTAGGTAACATCACCAAAGCGTATCATCATGGTGCTAGCTGCTTAGCTTTACTAGAAGGTCGATGAGTTGGGTCAATCTCCATGCCCTTATCTTCTTCAAGCCCTTAAGGCTAACAAGTCAACTAACGGTCTAGGAAGGCTAAAAAGGCAACTAGATGCTTAGCCAATAATGCTGAAGGTTAGTAACTCTCCTTAAGGTCGATGCTAAAGAGCGTACTTAACACCAACCCTGGGCAAGCACCCAGGAAGGAAGACTAGCTGTCCCTATTGAGTTGTAGCACTTGCTTAGGCAACTACCGAATGGAGTGTGGGAAAGCGAGTAGAGGAGAGGAGACCCCTAATAGAATCATTGTTCCCCAAGCTGAAGACTTACCTCAAAATCCGTCGTGTTGCCCGTCTCTTTCTGCAATGAGTTTAGTGTCGAGATTGCCTATTCATCCGTTAGAGAGAGTGGACCTTTACTGTTCCTCAGCAATAGCAACTCACCAGAAAGCAACTAGTTGTCGCCCTGCTTCCCTCTCGATAGAGGGCTAAATCACCTACTTAACACTAACCCAATAGAACCAAGAAGCATAACACTTTTCGCAGTTCCCCTTGCCGACAAGCACCTAGCGGACGAGGACGAAAGACTAACTAGCTCTCCCGTAGGTGCAAAGCCGCTCGCCCCAATGAATAAGCAGGAGAGGGAGCGTTGCAAGTCCTTCTCCTTCTGCTAAGATGGCCCTCTTTTTGTTTTGTTTGTTCACGGAGCTAGTTTTAAAAGAACCAATCAAGCTTGGACCCGTGCATTTTATAGGCCTCCCTCAAAAGAACCAGCCCAGACAATCATCTGACTCCTACTATTGCTTCTGAGTTCGTATGCTTAGCTTCTGCTAGGAAAAGGCGGCAAGGCCATAAAGTAAGTGAAGTTGCAAGCCTAAGCCAAGAAGGTACGAACGAAGTGACGGGCCCTTTTAGAGATAGGGGGCGGCTTTCTTGTGGTAGTCATTGCGAACATCTCTTCTCTTAGCGTGCACGGTTTGCTTAGCCCGAAGTAGCATCCTTAGACATGTCCTTCTCGCGGGAGGAGAAGAGATGAAAGACTCATAGTTTCGAAGACCTTTCCATTGATAAGGCATTAAGGTATKCTTTCTTGAGGTTTTATCCTTTTCATGTATAGATAGATCATTTATTCCAAAACCCAATAAATCAAGGAAGCTATGCTGTCTTACTCAACCACATAAAAACAACAGTGATGGATGCAATTTCTCAAGTATTGAATAAGGTCTTTGCTGGCATATTCTTAGAGTGTTCTCACATGTTCAAGAAAGGAAGAGGGACTCAGACATTCTTTGCGCAGAGTTCTATTACTATTAATRGGTGGCTCCGCGATTTCTTAYRGGCACAGGCATCCYAGGTAATTCAGTCTTATGGTTCTTCATTATCTGCATATGGCCTTTTTTTCCTAGGTGCTCATTTTGTATGGGCTTTTAGTTTAATGTTTTTATTCAGTGAACGTGGTTATTGGCAAGGACTTATTGAATCCATTGTTTGGGCTCATAATAAATTAAAAGTAGCTCCTGCTACCCAGCCGAGAGGTCGGCTTGCCCTAACCAAGACTCCGCTTTTTGCTCCGTCCGTGGAGCGTATGAATTTCCTGGAATGTAGATAGACCAAAAGAGGGACTGAAGGGATAAGAATAGGAATTATAGTACCATTAGAAGAAGGGGCACCTGTGGGAACCTCTACTAACGAACCATTTCAAGAGTACGGGTCTTGTCGTGCCACGAGGCACGACCATGGAAGTAATGAAAAAGAAAAAGTTATGTAGTTGGACCATCTGTTCTATCCGTTCGAGTTTTGCTTCTATAGAGAAAATGAGACGCTCAAAATGAAAGTGTTCGCAACGCATACCGAAAGGGTACCAATGAAGCCGACCATTAATGASTAGTTCGAAGACCAAGAGCGGTCTGATCTAAAAAGACCCTATGGTACCTAACTAGTATTTCTTTTCGGTAAGTAAGAATACATTGACTGATGGAGGAGAACCCCCGAAGTAGACATAAATGAAAGGGCATACCCCATCCCAGGCAACCGAACAAAGAACTCAAGACACTCCCCCGAGCTCTAAAATAAAGAAACTAACCTATGGAAAAAAATTATTAAAGCCCAAATAGAATTTAAATTATAAAAAATAGTCCAAAGACCCAAAAAGAAATTTCGGCAATAGCAAATCCTATTTGGTATCAAAATTGCGGTCAATAGCAGTAATAACGGCCGCTATTTGTGGTACCGCTATAATACACGCTACTCATGCACCGCTATTTTGTCCAGGACCGCTATCCGCTATAGTGAGCTATTAACTGCATAGGTACAGGCCCAAATAGAACTATTATGTTTAAAGGTAATAAAGCCAATAAAAGGTAGTATTCTAAAACATGGTGCTAATAAAGCATGCAAGTTCCATACTTCAAGTCAATAAATAGGATACAGATCGGGCCATTGGCAGAACAAAGGAAACCTTTTTGCAAAATGCTAGAGGTATATGCATAACAAAATGGCATAAATGTCTATATCTCCAACACTCCTCAACTTGGAGCATAAACATCAAATGCGTTCAACTTGTTACATACTTACAGGTAGGATTAATGGCTTTGTCAAGATATCTCCATGAAGCAATATTGATAAGAAGTATCGACTACCTTTCTACGAACAAATTGGCAATCCGCTTCAATATGCTTGGTGCAAGTGATAATCCACTTCAATATGCTTTATCCATTGTATTACCTTTTCAATCCTTGAGCTTTTAGTTTGGGTAATAAGAGTCATTGCAGGGAGACAAAACATTCATTCCCGACAATTGGGTGGGTAAATGACATTTTCTTAGTGAAACTATAAGATATTTTCTTTGACCCAAATACCTTCATTACATGAAAATACCTCATGAATCCCACGCACTTAACCTCAAACTCATATGCAAGACACAATTTTAATACCCTGCTTTCGAGTGAGATATATTGTGTTCATTTGGTGTGATTTATTTTTAACCAATCCGTTTTGATCTATCATTACTAAAAAGAATAATTCGTCCATATACATTCTAAGAATGATTATCTTCTCGTTAGGTTAGAACTTTGTGAGCACATTATGACATCTATGTCCTTTGTATCATTGATTAGTTCACAAATTGAGTGAACCCCTCGATTCTCGAATGAAGCTTTCGCCTACTAGTATTCCAACCAATGAAGATACCATTTTCCTTGGCAGATTTTGACCTTGTTTAAGGCATCGAGGATGAGAACTAAACTATAATTAGTACAGCCTACCGCCACAATGAGATGGTCAAACTGAAAGGTGGATCTAGTTTCAAGATGTCACTTGAGGGGTATATTTAAAGCAAGGCCTACATGCTTCAACTTAGTGGTAATACAAAACTCGTCACCACAAGTCTCAAGGGTGAGTTGCTACCCTGTTCTGGGATCGACAGATATCACAATTTACACGATATTTTCTCAACTCTAACTACTCTCACTTCACTATTGCTCACAATTTTCTTATTCTCTTTCTCCATTGTTAACGAAAAGACGGATGCTGACACTCCAGATGATCACTTGATTAAATTAAAAATATATATATCATGGTAGTCTTCTTTACTTCGAAGTTCATCAAAACCACTAACATGTAATATATTTTCTATAAAATTTGGAAAAACAATAACTTATACAAGTGAATCAAAACCTGAAAACTGTTCTATTTATGTATAGACAAGGCAGCCATATATAGAGCATACTAAATTTCAATACAGAAACCATAAAAACCTTAAATATAACCAACAAACCTAGTGCATACTGTATGAATAAATGCTCATCTGAGAGAAAGAGTATACCAGGTGGAGAGATTTGGTTTAGGTGAGAATATAACGAGAGGAGACCACTTGTGCTGAGATCGGATCTGGCTATCTCTGAGTTGCTCTACGAGTTTTGAACGCGTTATCATAATAACACACCTCTTTATAAGACCGGAGATATGATTCCCTCTCCGACCTTGTAAAACCCTAAAAACAAGATTGAAACCCTCCAAAATAACGATTAGATCTTGAAAAGAATGATTGTACAAAGAGGTCCGATTGGTAAACAATATCCTGTCAAAAATTCAATCTGCAATCGCCGGAGCAGATTGAGAGATAGCCGGATTATTTGGTCGTCGCCGGATTACCGAGAAAATCTGAGCAGACTGAAAGCTTTCTTCAGTTCGATCTGCGCCTGTTGCTATATTTCGTTTTTTGTAGTATAACTTTAGATCTAAATTTCCTATTTTTCTAATAAATAATTATGTTACTATAATATAAAACATTTATTACTACTAGAACGATACTCGCATAATGCAACGAGATATATCTTGATTTTAATATTTAATTTATTTTTTATTTCAGTCGATGTTATAATATGGTCTTATGTGATTTTAAAAAAAAAATGATGTTTTTATTTTTGAATAAAGTATAAATTTAAAAATATCATAAAAATTTGACAAAAATATATCGATATTAGTATCAAATTAACTATTTAAAATTTCTCATTTTTATGTAATTTTTAATTTAATTTTTTATTATAATTTAATTTATGTTCAATAACGAATTAATTTATATTTGGTTTAATAATTAATATAATTTTCTTATAAAGATAATAATCAATTATTTTGTTAGAACTCGATAATTATTTTAATTATATTTTAGATTTTTTATATTTTAAAATGATATGTCTATCATCTATTTGATTATGTTTATCCACAGTTAGTTACACAAATTCAAACATGAAGTTTTAATCAGTTGTACTTATGCAGAATTTACTTGTAATCTTGAATTTTAAGTAATATGCATCAATATACAGTATTTTATGCATCAAAAATGGTTTTTAAGAGTTTTTGTCAAATGCTTTATAATATAGTATAGATTATTTTTAAAACTAGAAGTCATTCGCCTAATATAGTGAGATACATCTCGATTTTAATGTTTCATTTAAAACTCATTAAGTCATTGGACATTCCAAAACCTGTTAAATAACTTATTGAACTTTCTAAAACTTGTTAGATACATTCTTATAACCTATAAAACTTGTTAATTTGGTAAAATAATGGAAAAAATTGGAAAAAAAAAACAAATTGACTTTTCATATTTTGAACGATTAAGTTCCTAAACATTTTTTGAACCAAAAAATACTTACGTCTATAAAATGAAACAAATATACCAAAAAATACTTATATATACAAAAAAGATTTTACATTTAAAAAACATTATTGATGAAATTTATTTAATTAAAAATAAAACAATATTTTATCAGTAATTTTTCAAATAAAAAAGAATTTAAATCTGTTGAAACAAGAA